ATCGGTTGTTAGAAGCGAATGTGTAACTAAAACAACTGGCCAAGTTAGATCTTACGCATTAGTGCGTAGAAAAATCACCGAAATTCTCCGCATCAAGTCAAGTCAAGTATTTGCTTTATGCACCCCGAAAGGTGGATATTCAGCAAGTCCTCGATTCGAAGGAGCAGATTTAAGACACGTCTACGAAAGAATGATCTGGTGTTATCTTTTGTTGATAGCCCATAACGAGGAAAATAAGACTATACAGTGCTTTTCCGCAGAAATTAACACATCGAATGTAAAAAGTGGATCCACATTTCATAAAACAAGAACGTTGAGTGGTGACGTTAGGCTGTGACGACGTAGCGAATCCACAATCTCTTTAGACACTCCACTTCACGAAAAATTGTGACCGTGTTTAATGGACTTATCACCGTTGATCCTGGTTAATTCACATGCAGTCTGCGACAGAAAAATCGGTTCAGTTTTCCTCACTCGCGGGAAGCATTTATTGGGCGATCAGAAAAACGCCAACACCGTACGAGAAACGTATGTAGCTAAATTTTAGTTATTATAACTTATCGACCATCTGATTTCTTTTCGATAATTTGAGGGCGATGAGTAAAACGTTATTACGGATCACTGCTGATTTCATCACTATAAGGTTAGAATTTTCACGGATTTCTTGAATATGTGACTAACCTGAAGGACTGCATTGAGGAACTTCAGTGTGCGCGGACAGCTGACCTGATACGATGATTCACTGGTGCTTGGTTTCTCTAAATTTCTATCGTTAGAAGGTGCAGAAGCACTTCTTTTAGATGTTTTCTTCGATGTGGCATGTGGGCTTGGAGAAATCTCGGTCATGGCTCCGGTGATCACGTGGGTGACCTCGGGAGATATATTGCTGACAACCTGGGCACGAATCATGGTAGCCACACGACCAAAAGTAACCTGTTGCGTTCGATTCAATCCGGTAGCCAGTAGCACCGGTCGCAGGCGGCGTCTGGAACATGATGAACAACGTAAGTCATAAACGCTTAGTGAAATCGAGAATGGCCAACATGATACTGAAAAAATTAAAAATCACGACCTACCTTTCTTTGAATGAAATACTGAGAGCGGGATTCGAAGCCTCGATAATGGACAAACGTTTACACATATCATTCGATGTAGATGTCACGGATTCGTTTATCTTGATAGCATTATTCACTACAGGTGGACAGCGTTTGGAAATAGATGCCATCAGAGTATCTCGAATGATGAGAAGTGTATTGCGAACAGTGTTTGTGACATTGCTCTGTGAGGATCTCAGGGTAGACTTGCTTTTGCCTTTTGGTTCGTTGAGTTTGCTGATACTCATATCAACCAATTGTAAAGGAGTGAATCCGGCACCATTGGGCAACAAAGGATCAGCACCATGATTCAACAATATCTCGCAACATCCTTGCTGGCAGTTTTGAATAGCATCATGCAAGGGGGTATCAAGATCAGGACCACCCGGAACGTCAACAGTGGCTCCAGCTTTCAGTAGAGCTACGGCGACCTGCGAAGCACACACGGGAAAATGATAGTGAAGATCGAGGTAGATATGTGAAGAATTTGGTATAAAATCAGACTTCAACAGTTTGCTAATAGAGAGTGCTGGCATAGTAAGACCTCCGAATGTAATGTATGTACATTCAAAAAAGAAAGTGAGTTGTATAATGTTCGCGGGACCATTAGGTACGGACAACGATTCTGAGGAATTTCTAGCCAAACCCCATGCAGCATTTACCAAAGATTGAATTGTTGTTGTTGGAAGATNTTGGAAGATAGAAGAATAGATTTTAACACTTTCTTCGGTGGGAATATCTGCCGAAAACGGAAATGAAAACCTCAGTGTGCTACGAACCGAAACCTCCAACAGCTCAACTCGAGGAGCAGAAATTGAATTTAAACTGACCTTAACAGTAAACTACTCACGAGTAGGTAAAACCTAAATTCAAAATACTCAATATCAGCATGCGTCGGCGTACCTGAAACGGCTACTTTGGCGTCAAGGTTGTTTATTTCTGTCTGTGACGCAACTGATGTAATGAGGCTTCATTGAACCCAGAAGCTGTACATGCGATTTTTGAAACAGTCGATGGGCAGATCCGCCGTCACCCGGCTGAATTCCACACTTTTCTTGCTAACTGCATAACTTACCACATATATGTTATTTTCACAATATTTTTGCCACACTAACGATCTTTGTACACTTGCAGTTATGCCCATCGCGAACAACTTAAATTGTTTGGGAGCTCACTTCCTTATGGGAATAAATATAAACCAATCGTTAAAATATCTCGTGGATACCGGCGGAAGCACCAAAGCGGATGGATAGTGGCCCTTCACAGAAAACATGTGAGACGTACGCTTACAATCGTGCTGAGCTGTAACGTCCGTTGAATCAGAAATTTATCCGACCCTTGTGATTGAATTCCCACAAACCAGTGCCATTTTTGTAAAGGGGACGTGGCCACAGGATGACACTGGCGACTAACTTGTAAAACTTCCAGCGCCCTGTACTGCTCAGTACCGGGATCATGGATCAGGCCTTATTAGGTGCATCACCGATCACCACTGCCAGTTTACTGGGATTTTATTCCGCTATTCGACCGTTTACATGCTATCTTACTCCAATTTAAGCCAAATTGCTGAACGATCATCGTTTCTGATCCTATGCGTGTCCGACGACTTTTTCAAAACGTATGATTTTCTTTTTACTAACCTAATGCAAAATTTCGAAACTTACTTGTGCTTAAATTGTAATAGATTCAATTATTTTGATAACGACTTTTAAGGTTATTGGGGTCAGTAGGTATTGTGAACTTATCGACCGGAGTCAGCGTTCAGTAACACTTGTACTTAGCAAATAATACCACTGTGTTGTGTATCCCGTCCGTCTTTTGATCATGTCACTACTAAGATTTTCCGGCTGTATACAGCAACTTCATGAAGTTGCGACCCTAAGGTATGTAGACGTTAATTACAATTGAAGAACATCATGAACCCCAGAGGCATGGTTCAAGAAACAGATATTTTCACTTTCACTCTGCCTTAATGACTAGAGTGATCTTTCTATATAAATCAATTTTGCAATGATTTACGTTACCCGCGTGAAACGCTTCATTTTCGTTCAGACCGCATTTCTTCCCCCTTTATTAAACAACTGCAGCGAAGGAAAGAATGAACACAGTGCAAACGAACACTCACTGGCCAGAAATCTCACCAAAAACAGCTAAAAGTGAGACTCAATCCTGTGTC